GAAATGAAACCAAAATCCTAAGATTTGCAGAATATGCATTCTTACCTGATGTTTGCTGATCTTCACCATACTAAAATCATAATTTAATCTCTGATCAGCTAGTAAATGCTAAGGCATTTGGTAACTTTTCATTGAGAAAAGGAAAGTAAGCTTTCCTGGATTTTTAAATATAATCAGTTTTTTGTGGAATATCAACAAGTATTCACAGAGGAGTTGATGAGAGACAGCAGAGAGGATTTCACATCTACCGTTGATCTTCCTACTCTAGTCATGAAAGTTTGGCCACTTACCAGCCAGTTCAGAGTACTGCACCAGGCTCACTGCTCTGACAGTAGGACCCTATTTTTTCTGCTGCTTGTAAGAGGCAGCCCATCTAGATGAGGCAAGTCTATCTAGACAGAACAGTAGATCAATAGAAATATGGTCGTCATTTATTCAGTATGCAGCGAGAGTACATTTATCTGCAAAAAAAGTATGCATGTTGGGTTTTTTCATATTAATTCTTGATAGACACGTCTGTCTGATAAGTATAAGGAAAGTCATCCTTTCACTCAGTTTAATAAAACCTCAAGAAACAACATGTTCTCGATAACATAAAGACATTCACTTGGGTGTATGGTAATAACTTTTCAGATGGAATGACCTGGTGCTTATATGACTGCACAATGTGTCTGTAAACAAATTTGAAAAGTAAGTTTGCTGCTGTAATGTTTATTGGCTTTACATTGGCCAGTATTTACAAAGTAGAATTTCTAAGTATGCTTAACTTGTTAAAACTTCCTAAATAAAGAGAAAGTAAACTACAGAAGAAGCAGATGCTTACTGTAAGCTTTAAAAACTATTTATTCAGCTGGTATTTGTGCCCTAAGTCCAATATGAGTATTAGAACGCTGGAATGCAACAGAAGCCTTTAATGCAGTTCATTATTGTAGAAAGCTGGGACTAACTAATCCTTCCTCTCACTGGCCCCCAAGTGCATCTCTCAACTAGTGAACTCTCTGTTCCTGAAGCCCCCTAATACACTTTTTATTTCTGATGTCACTTTCCCACCCTTCAAGGCACATCAGGTGGCATATATCATTGCACCAAACATAAGCTTTATTTCTGCTGATGCCTTTTGGTATTGGCAAGTACTTAAAGATAGTTTACTTAATATAATAAACAGGCTGTATTTAGTGTCCTTCCTGTGATATCAGTTTGTTGCCATGCGGGGAGTGTATAGTGTTTGTAGTTGATAAAGTCAGGTTTCTTTCTTTGCAAGTGATAGTCTAGAAAATATTGTGAAATAAATATATTCACTTTCTTATATGAAAAGTATGTCCATAGAGCTTAGACTGTTTTCAAACAGCAAGGTGTTTCAAATAAAGTGAAGAGGAATTAAAGTCTGTATGTAAATGAACTTATCTTGGGCTTATTGCAGTGTTACAAAAATCATGCATTATCTTCTATATCATTGATTGATTCTTTACCATTTCCCCTGTTAATCTTAATTCCTTTTAAAGCCACTATAGCATCAACAGAGTTGTGTGACAAGTCATATGCCAAGAATATCTTGCCAAATTTAAAAGTCATTATAGTAACCAGTTTCTTACAGGAAATATAAAAAAAAAATAAGCATACTGAGGCAACAGGGCAGTCCTAAATAATTGGCAGGCCAACTACTTGTTTTGGCAAAGATAGTGGCAAAAACCTCATCATAATTTCTTCTGCAGGTTTTTGCAACTAAGCTGGACCTTCAGTAGTATTATGCCATTTTAAGATGTCTCTCTCTACAGTTTACAAACTCAGTAAAATCAGACATCCAAACAGCTGAAGATTAAAAATGTGTTTGCTGTAGCCTTTGCCGTTTGCCATGTGGATGTTTATCAGCAAATGCCTATTATAGGCTGAAAAGAATCAAATTACTTCTAATGTGATGGCAACATCTGATGCAAGACATTGTTGTCTTCTACAGCCAAATAAGTTGAATATGAATGGACTTGACAGCACGTATTATGAAACACTTATGGTCTGGAGACTGGGTGTTGCCCTAACAACCAGACTATATTTCCTTAATTAAGAAGTATAATTTTTTCCCTACGTGACACAAGAGGATTCTGCAAACTCTGGTGAATTAATGGTCTGGCAAATGCATGTAATTCTCTACTCTAGGTAACTGTCAGCTTCAAACACTTTAAGCTGTCTTAGGAAAGCTGCAAATACTTGATTTGTTTTCTCAACTTCTTTTCCTAACATATTAAATGGTATATGTTTAGGGACTAGAATATATGTATTTTCTATTTAAAAATAATATGTTTACTGTCTCTGAGCAATTTTTTTGTCCTTGATGTATTCTCTCTCCAGTCCATATTTTTTTTAATAGTTTCTTTGCAAAACCTGTCTTGTTTATTTACTGAAAGACATTTGCTATCAGATTTTTCCACTGTGTCTGGCACCTGTGTTTGCTGCTCTAAATCATAAGACTTCCTTCACCGCTGCCCCTTCTTCATTTCCAGGTTCCTGAATTTATACACAGGAATAGCTATCAGTCTGTCACATCTGTAATCACAGCAAGTTCCTCCAACCATACCTTTGCAATAAGCATCTTTGGAAAGAAAGCTTGATATTTTAAGGCTTTGGGATATCCTAAATTAATTGTAGGCACAGCTGCTGGTGGTGTGGGGCTTCAGGAAGCTGTGGTGTGAGTGTGGCTTTCTGCTTAGCCCATCACACATCACAAGTGGGAGCTCACCTTGTCTGTCATGGAAAGTCCTGAGGCAATTCTCCACGTCTAAGTCAAAGGAGAAAACTGCTCATAGAGGGAACTGAGAACTGCTTATCAGTTGACAAATTTGGTTTGAGCATTTATGGTTTGGTACAGTAAAAATGCTGTTTTGTGGTGTGTATCATTCTGGGTATAAAGCTTGCGATTTTTTACCGTAACCAAAAAAGTGCAGGTGGATGACCAAATCCCAAGACCTCATCTGGCTGCATACTATCTCACGCCACTGATTTTTAACATACGGCAAGAATGTAATTTTCCTTGGGCATGATGCTACTTCAGACTCCTGCACTACATCTACTGTGCAGAGATTGCCAAATGGGCTGAATGAGTGTATGCCCTGCAGATTTGCTTTCAGGCTCTTTCAGTAAAAGGGTAGAGTTGGGGTTTTTTCCAGCAAAAAGAGAGGAACAGCATGAAAGAATGTCATGTAAGGAAGAAAGAAGGGCTTTTTTGAATAGAATATTAACTCTGCTCTGCTGAAAGACATTTTGTTGTGAAAGTTTGTGACTATCTTGCTTTGTAATGATGCGTGCCAACAAGAAGTTTAGCACTGTGGTGGTTCATGAGAATGAGTTAATCAATGGGTTAATCTGTGTAAACCAGTGCAAACTAATAGAGCCAAGAAAGAGGGAAAAGTGTTCACAAGTGTTGTAGGTGTGATACTTGCACACTGATCAGCTTGTTTTATAAGCGTTTATTTGGAATCATGACAGATTTTCTGGGGAGACCAGTTTCTGTAATTTGCCAAATTTCTCCAGAGTCTATGGTCAGTGCAAGAAACGTAATCCACTATGTGACCTAAAACAAGCCTGTATGTATTTCATACCCTAAGGGCATTACAAAAAGGATTGATAAAGCTGAGCCTTCCTCCTCTTTACCATTGCATGCAAGTAATGAGTTCACAGAGACTGTAGAATCTATGCTGCTCAGATAGGATGTGCATAGACAAAATATTGCTGGAAGGTGAGAAAAAATTGAATTGGTACTTCCCCAGCTTTTTTTTATTTTCATTTATTTTTTATTTGAAACTGAAAATTTGAAGTGTTTTGCTTCTGATCAGATCCTTGACGATGCAGTCACATAGCTCTACATAAATGTGAGACAGAAACTTAAGAACAGGTGTGCAGTGATTTCTGGAACTAGTTCAGTTTAGGTTCCTCTTTATAGCTGGATTTTTTTTAGGAATATCAATGCAAAAAATATCAGTTTTCCTGTTTCTAAAACAAATACATTCATCCACATTTTCCATGCTTTGTAGGAGATGTAATGTTGTGATCATTTGTGCAAATTTGTAACATTTGCACATAAGCATACATATGCACAAAGCAGAGCTATTATTTCATATGAAGAAATAGCTGGAAATACCTCCTTATTTCACTATCGGCAAGAAAAAGAGCAGACCACTCTGTTTTTGACTGACTTTCTCTAACCAACACAGGAAATAGGATTTTACACCATAGAACTGAAGAGAATCAACACTTCACTAAGGCATGAGGTTACTAACATGGGACCTTGGGGAGTGGGAGAGCTAAAACCAAGAAATATGAATGGCAAAGCAGCTTTCTCCAAAGCTCCTCTGGCATGCCTTTTGTTTCATTTTTGTTCAAAGTCTTGTTCTTGCTTTAGTTCATATGCTGTTTGTTATTAATGTCTTTGTTTTTCATGCAGAGAAGAAAAATGCTTTTAAATGCTGTGTATGTGTTTTAAATGGGTGTCACTACCAAACTTACTGTCAATAGTTAGTCTTACTTAATCAGCTATAAAATGTCATGAGTAAGGGTTCCAAATTGAGACTGGAAAAATCCAGGATAATTACCATAATAGATTGAAGATCTCAGAGACTGAAGGTTTTAGAAGTCAGAGAAAATTGGGGACATATGTGTTCTGTCTGAAGATTCTTCTATATAGGATATGGAAAAATAGAAATGACAGGCATTTTGCAATGTACAGTGGCATTCATCATAGAAAGAACATATGCATTTGTTTGTCAGAAGCAATGAAGTAAAAAATGACACTTAATTGGAACTGACATAAAATGGCCTCATTAGTAGTACAAATAATATATGCATGTAGCTTGGTTGTCAATAGGAACAAAACATATTTCCTCTGACAGATATATTAGTCTCTTTTAAGATTCATGTCAAGTTTTCAGCCAGGTTCACTCATTTAGAGAATGCCGCCTTTTTTTTTTTTTTCTTAAAGTGAAATGTTGAAGTGTAAATGATGTGTGTTTTAGGGTGCTGTGATAACACCAACAATGGACCACACTATGTCAATGCAGCCAGCAAGCATGATGGGCCCTCTGACCCAACAGATGAACCACCTTTCCTTGGGCACAACAGGAACGGTAAGATCATAGATTATACTATTTATTTTCTATGTTGCAGAACATTTATTGTTTACTGAGTTTCTCAAGGTAATTTATTACTCTTGGATTTTCACCGTTTCACCTTTTTGCAGTTTAATATTGCTGTGGTTTACTTTGTTTTTTCTCCATGTCCAGAGATGTCTGGTCTGTCTGGGCATACATATCAAAGTGCCTTTCATCATGACCCAAATATGATGTACTACACAAACAATATCGTCATATTGCTATGTCACACAAACATGTATCTAGAGTTATATTTCTAAAACTATCATAGAGTCAGCATTTAATATTATAGAACAGAAATTGCAAAGTAGTATTAGTAGTAAAACAGTAGGTCAACAAAACCTGCTCTGTACTTAGTAGGGACTACCTGTACTAATTCTCATGTAAATATGGAAGGGCTCCTCTACGATTTGGTTTTTAATCAGAAATTGTTTGCTTGTCAATCTGCAAAGTTTTATACCATTGGGAAATGTGAGTTCTGGCTTCATGGTAGGACCCACTATTCACTTCTAAATCATAGCAGCCAGCCATACATCGTTTGCTCCAGGCTCAGAAATGTGATTTTGGGTCAAGGTCAGCTGTGTTTCCAGTATATTATATGTAAACATGCAGATTTCCACAATTATTTTCTCTTTAAGCTGTGTAAGTCAAACTCAATTAACTCTCCCACAGTCAGAGAAAGACAAAAAAATACTGTTAATAAAACTTACTAAAACTCTTTGAAATGCTCCCTAAAATACAACAGCCTACACGCAATATATGGCGGTTTGATATGTGAATATGTGCACGCTGCATATACCTGTATATTTTTATGAAAATGCAGACATAAACATTACGCTTTTATGTCTTTAGCACACATGTGCTTTATGTAATAATTACATGAAAAATCTATTATGCATTTAAAATTTTTTTCTATTTCACCACTGTACTACTTGATACTAATCTATAGGAACATCTATAGTTGTCCAACTTTGGTTTTGGGGTGGCCTTTTTTAAAATTGAATAAGGTACTGAATAAAGTTGCATCCTTACAAAGTTATTTAATTTACTGTATTAGGTCTTCTTTTCCTCCCCTCTTCTCTCCCTCTCTTTTTTCTTATCTGTTGAATTTAATTCTAATTCTAGTGTCTTTTCCCCCATTAAAAAGCCCAAACCCAAACAACTTGTTTGAGATCTGAGACTTCTGTATTTATTTCTGAGAAAACTTGATGGTTCATTGTTTATTCCTCTTATTTTAAATGTTTCAGTCAGCAATCAAAAGAAGTAGGAATTACATCTCAAAGTTAATATCAATATTTTTCCCCTCTGAAGAGATGAAATTGAAGGAAATACTAGGACTAGTGAGAATTTCTCCTTGTGTAATTACTGTGATTCAAAAGTGTGCTTAAAAATTAGGACAAGGAAATTGAAAATGAATTCTGGTTGTGCTGCTGGGCAGCTCCTATGAGTTTTTCCCTCTATCTCTCATTTTAATTCCCATGACTCTTACAGACATTGTCTTTTGTGCTCGTTTTCTGGCAATCTCAATGCAAACTAGAAAATTCTCAGCTAATGCTCTCTTCCGACTTGAGACAACTATTACAGGGCTCATAGTAACAGATCCACAATAACAAACCCATCTGGGGAGGCAGAGGAAGGACTCGGAAAGGCGGTAGGTGATGTATTGGATGATAATAAGATCCTGAATTTATTTTACTGCAACTGAAAGTAAAGAAAATCTTCCCTTCCTTCTCCTAGCTCTTTACACAGTCTTATTTTTCAAGGTCACAGCATTCCCTGACAACTTCTTGGAATGCACTCAGAGGTATACCATATAGGTCTATATTTACTATCTTAAAACTCCTAGCTCATTTGCAGAAAACTTTAAGAGCAGGATAGGGTAAATGATTGATGTGTGTTACAATATCCATAAGCTTTTCATAAATCTCAAATGACACCCTGTTTTATTGCAACAGGATTTCTCTTTGGTAAAACCACCATCAGCACCATATTCAGTTAAAGTCCTCATGCATACAGCAAAATCATGGAGGTGCCCAGGAATTTCTCCTGTCAGGAACTTAGGGAGAACTTCAGGATTTGGGCTGCCAGTAGCAGTTTTGTTGGGTGTATCCATCTTGACTTGAAATTGAATCTTCCTAACGTGTTCTGTTACAGAAAAAAAAAAAAAATGTGGGAGAAACAGACAACCTATTTAGAGATATGATTTATTTAGAGATATTTTTACTTCATTTGTTCTGAAGTCTGAATTTCAGTCCAGGGAGAGGAGCATTGAGAGCATCAAGCCATGACAAATTGAGCCAAGTCCAAACCATGCTACTCTGAGTACCTCAGCAGGACTAAGTTTTATAGGAGAGAAAAGACATAAACTATACATATCTGTTACAAACTTATTTTTAATTTTATCCTTAAAACTGTGCAACAGTGTGCCATAAAGAGCCACCAGCTATCTTTCAAGAAACCAGCCAAATTTTTTTAAGCAAACAAGGCAAAAAGTCACAAATAGTTCTGCTCAGTGTTGGCTGTAATTCCGTCCCAATTAAATTTAAATGCTTGGAATATGCAAAGCATTTTTTATTAAAAGACTTTCATATATTCACTTCCTTAGACAAACCATTTTGCTAATTAACATAACATATTTTTCAGCCAAAACAGACCTCTGTGGTCACTTAAGTCAGAGTTGACTTCAAACTCATTTGCAAACTTGCCTGATTCAGGATGAATGCTGGGTTTCTAAAACATTGCTTCAACAGAAAATCTATTCTCTGGTGAGTAAGCTAGAGAAATAGCATAAGGGCCTATGTATGCTTTGAGTCTTTTGGGAATTATTCTGTCTTTTGATGCTCTCTAAAAGATTAAAATACTTGATCCAGGCTGAAGCTGTTCCAAAGGGTAGACCCTTCACAGAGGAGCATTCTTTAGCCCTTCGGTGAAGCAAGTTACCAGAGTAAGAGCGGCCTCTGCCAATTCCTGCCTCAACACCAGAAATTCTGTTTGAGTTCTGATCTCTCAGCCCTGAAGCACACGGTAAAACACCATGGGGATTTGAGGGGCAGCCGCCTCCATTCCTGCCTGCACTTGACTATTTACTCTCACCAGGCCAGGGGGGGCATTTCTGGCTAAATGCTGGCAGCGCTGCTCACTTCCATCTGGGAGCGTCCAATTCAGCAGCCAAAACAGGGCAATTTTCCTACAACCCCACTCATAGCCAGCTGCCTTCCCCTTGTGCTATGGAAGACCTTCAGTTACTGGCCCCAAGAAGAACAAAGAATTTTGTTTAGGAAACCATGCGCCATGAATAGGAACAAGTTATTTTCTTTATCTCCAAAAACCCTTACTAATGCTTATTTAAGTTGATTTTATTACCTTTCTTAACATTCTTATTTCTTCTCTATTATTGAATTGTCTGCATAAAATCAGACATCTCTGCTATATACTAAGCACTCCTTAATCAAAAGGATGCGCTAAGGCTATCGAGGTGCCAGGCAAAGTGAAAAGCTGCAAATCTGTCTGTACTTGATTTCACTGCTCACATCACGAAAACCTACAGCTGCAGGAAATATTCCAGGCCAAAGGATGGTAGGTGGCACTGGGGGAAGAGAGGAGGTAATGGTCTGTGGTTTGTGGCAACTCAACACTATGTTTCTGTGCTGTGAGAGGATTTCATAAAGCATTTGCATCTCCCAGTTACTGGGCTTTGTGCTTTATCCTCCAAGAACGTAATTCCTTTCTGCCTTTGTGAAAATCAGGTTGATTTCTGCCAGTGAAAATACAGTTTACGTTACTGATGAATTAAGAGGCAAGTGTGTGGCTCTGATCACTTCTCAAAATCTTCCTGAAATCTGGAGTTAAGCACAGAATCTGCCAGAGGGGCGATTTCTGCCTTATGATTATGTATTTTTCACACATACCTCTTCACTCAAAAAGAGCAGAAAGCATTTACATGGGTGGGCTGGCTGTAGGCAAATATGTAAAGAAAACCTAATCTTAAATTTTGTCAAGATTACAGTAAAAAAAGTGATAACTGAATATTCTGATTAAGGTTGGCAATCCTGCCTCAACTCCTACAGTTGTATTAAAACAAATTTTTATGCCAGGAGGCATAATGTGAAGACAGTCAATAGGTTTTAACCTTGACATTTTTCTTTTGTTTACTAGTTTATTATTATTTATTACAGTAAGTCTTGCTTTTCCTATGTAATATTAATCTACAATTAGGGCTGCTATTAGAAAAGGTACTGTAAAGGGGGAACAGAGTGAGCAAGTCTGTATGAATAGCATTGGAAGAGAGTAGCATTAGTGTGTGTTTAATAATGTATGGAGGCTGGAATTGTTCCATCATCAGCCTGTCATTCAGAATGTTTCCGATGCAGCCATTGATCTGACATCTGTTTCGTGGTTTAATAAAGTTGTGATTGATGGCCTGAGTGGATATAATACAAAAACCTTTGGAAATATAAAAGCTGAGCGGTCTGATCGCTGCTTTCAGTCCCTGTTGCTCAGCTCCCTTTTACTGCAGCACTTCCAGGTTTGGCCATCAGCAGCAGTCATCTGCCTCTTCAGCGGTAAGAAGATTTGCTCTATTCTTTCTCCTCTGCTGCTCATTCCTGAAGAAGTTTCCTGCTCTGCACTTTCTTGGTCTGGGTTTCTCTCCCCTCCCTGCTGTTAGCATCCATTTCAGATGCCGCTTGAGTTCCAGTTTCCTCCAACAGATTGAGGCAGACTTTGTTGGTCCTCGTTGGCAGAGCGGTGATTCCGGCTTTGGCTCGCTCTCTTTCGGAAGTGCCTTACCGTAGGCTTGTTTCATCTTAAGCCTTTGAGGCCCACACCAGTGGGAGAGTGAGTGGAAGCCAGGGTTTTTTTGTAAAACTGCTAGCTCAACTGTGCTGCTTAATTGTTCTTCACGGTTGCAGACAGTTCACTCAGCTTGCAGTTTCTAATTTAGAAATGTAAGGGGCAATTTACAAAGTAAGTTTTCT